TTTAGGATTGTTTTCCCTGCTGATGGGCCAGTCGCCCCGGTTCTACTGGAACCAGGACTCCATCATCTGCTCCACCTCCAGCTGCTGTGGTTCTGAGTCACACCAGCCTGTTCCCCTCCTGGCCTGTGGGGGCGCTGCACCAAGAACCACTGAAGGAAACGACACAAAAGCCTCTGAAGACACTGAGAGCAACTTCCTTCTTCACCAGATGGAAACAAGATGGAGGATTTTAGCGGTTGGAGGATTTCTCTTTAGGCTAAAGACCAGGAGCCATTTCTGCTGCTAGCGCTAGGCTAGCAGGTTAGCTTTGGTTGTATTTACCCAGAATGCCATGCGCTGTAGTCCACTTCCTGCTTTTGAGGTGGTCTCCGGTCCGTTTGCCGTTCACTTTCGAACCAAACCCAGACCAAGGTTTGGAGGGCCAGAGGTCAGAGGTCGATTAGCGTTCGCACCTCACCAACCGGACTTTGACTAGACAAACCAACTGGAGTTGGATTGAAGCGGATCAAACGCGGCTGGTGAAATGATGCAACCTGAAGTTGGTAATTGTTTTTCCAGAGTCAAAGGTCACCAAGAGCATCAGGTTCGTCTGCCATGCAGATCAGAGGAACCAATCAAATCAAATTCATGTCTACAACTGTTTATTCTGTCTGATGCCGTTTGCTCCCTATTCAAGTGATTTTATTACTGTATTTGATTTTATTAATTTTGTAAGGTGTCCTAGAGTGCAGAGAAAGTTTCCAAAAAATAAAATGGATTATTATCATTATTATTGCCATCAAGAAAGCCTCCAGCTCCAGGCCAGGAAAAGGTAAACGCCACTGAACACAAATCACATCAAACATGGAGTAAAGATAACCAGCAAGACTGGCTATGGACTCCATATGTTAAAATAATAAAGTAATAAAAGATAAAGCAGCTCAGATGTTATTCAAAATGTAACCATTTAAAGGAGGACAAGTCGAAGTAAATCACCACACAAGGTTTTTATGAAGAGAAAAAAAGCTACATTTCCTCTGAAATTCCAACAAAGTGTTTCTGCAGATCTTCTCTCCTGTCTTCTACCTGCTGGTTCAGGTGTACATGGAGAGGAACAGCCACTAAAATCACACAGAGGCAGATTATTAACCACCATCAGCGACCAGAATCATCAATGTTCAGATTTAATCTGGAAGTGACGTCAGTCCTGGAGCTTTCTTACCTCTGACATGGACAGAGTGACGTTTCTCCCATCCGACAGCTCCGTAAAGATTTCTGCAGAACAAGCAGAAGAAACCGGGTCAGGTTTACACCAGGCCGACCCAGGGTCAGGGGTCAACAAGTCTGCTCAGAGCTTCACTCACTGTTCATGCGGCTCAGGCGAAGGCTGAGGCTGATGAAGTTCTCCAGGGTCATGTGACCCGAGGTGGCGCCGTAGCGAACCGCCATCAGGTTGAGCAATTCATCGCTGATACTCATACCTGGAAAACAGCAAATGGCTTTAGCTCAGGGCTTTAGCTCAGAGCTTTAGCTGATGGCTTTAGCTCAGAGCTTTAGCTAATGGCTTTAGCTCAGGGCTTTAGCTGATGGCTTTAGTTTTAACTGCTTTAGCTACTGACTTTCGCTCAGATGTTAAGTCTTCAGTCTCATCCAGCATGACTGATCAGTCCCTGCTGTCCTCTGCACAGAAACATGAGGCTCCTTAACATTCTTGGATTTACCTGAGTCTCTCAAAGCTTTCCTCATCTCCGTCAGTGACAGCGTTCCCGTTTGGGAAACATCCATTTTTGCAAAAACTTGCTGATGAAAGGAAACAGGAACTATTTAATATCTGTTGACTAAAGCAGGACCATACTGCCCAGATTTCTCCTGGGCTTGGTTCTACTACCTTATATTTCGTAACCTTGTGCCACAGATAACCAAACTCCTGACTGTCCAGCTTCCCGTCTCCAGATTCCTGTTGAATGAGCTGTTAAGGTAACAAGAGTTTACTCTGTAAGCAGTGAAGATGCTTCCATCCCAGCAGGATACATCCATCAGAGCCACCATGCTGCGACATGCGTCGATGCTGAAGCTTCCTGATATCAGGTCACCTGCAGGGAAAAGGTCAGAGGTTATTCATCTTAGCATCTTCATAAGCTGTGAATTACTGCCATTCATGTTCAAACCTTTCAGAAGCTGCTGCAGCAGCTCAGCGTCGACTTCTTCATACTGAAAACGGGAACATTTCAAATCACAGATTGAGCTGAACAGATCCACTTCATGGCTTTTGTGAATTTGATTTTTGGAGTCGTTGGCATGACAACAGACCGACTGGTTCCTCCTACAATGACTTTCAAACCTCAGGTTTTATTAAATTGGGTCAACTGCTTTTAGTAAATAAAAACGTGTATAAGTTTGAAATATATTGGATACATTTCTGCTAGTTTGTAAATGAGCTAAAAGCAAAGCTAATATTTAGCTTAGAGCTTTAGCTGATATTAAAAACATTTTATTTTTCCAGATAAATTCTTAAGCACTAATTTACTCAGCAGTTTTGTAAGCTTTCAGTTGAATAAAGTTCTACTTTTCAACTGTTAATTATTCAAGTAATTATGTATTTATTCTGCTGCAGAACGCTCATGTTCTCCACATGAAGGGGTGCAGCATACCAGATGACCATTATTTTTTACCCAGAATGCACCACTGTAGCTCTACAGTAAACAAAATCAGCAGCAGATTTAGCAAAACTCAGCAACTGTAAAACTGAAACCAGGAGAATCGGTGCCTAAAGCCAAACCTTACAGGAAGCTAAATCATGACAAATTTGATCCTGATGAGGGCAACACATCAGCACATATTGTCATTAACACATGGTCAGTAGCAACACCGTCAATAGTAGCTTTAGCATTACCCTTTGGTATAGTGCTTCAGTTTGGACTAAATACTGTGTTGGTGTAGCGCTTTAGCATTAGTGGAACTAATGTTTTAGTGTCAAAGCAGCTAGCATTTCAGTTAGCGGTGCTCACCACTGGAGGCTGCATTGGTCTAAAGCAGGTTACCTTGTCTGAGTACTGACGGAAGAGTAGCATTTTATTTTCAACATCCTGGCAGTTTTTCTCTTTCTTCACCTGTTAATGAAGCAGTTCAGAGAAATCTAAAGATTAAAACATCTCAACAACAGGATCGATAAAACGTGTCTGCAGAAACGAACCTTTCCAACTGGATTGTTAAAACTGTGTCCAGAGTTTTCACTGGGGAGAAAAAGATAAAAAAAGTTTCCACCATCTGAAGTCACAGATAAAAAGTTTTCACATCATGGACATCAAGCATTTATGACTGTCATTTTATTCCAGAGACAAATAAAAACCAAACAGGTCCAGAGAAACCAACCAGTGTCAATGAACTGGTTCTGAGGGCCCTGAGAACCTGGTCAGGGACCGTTCACCAGTTCACCCACCACAGCTCTGCTATCTTAGTCCGATAGGATGAATGATTAACGACCCAGTCCAGATTCTTCTGACGGGTTGATGCGCTGCACCCTGGAAATGTCTGGACCTACTAGCAGCAGGTCTCCTCCCGGGAGAAGATGGTCAGCAGGAAGGAGGCGGTCTGGTTGGGCTTGTCGGTGCACGGCACGATGACGTATTCTCCAGGCTTCAGCGTGAGGAACTCCGTCACTTCACGGGACTTCATCAACTTCCTGGTTTGGGCAACAGGTCTATGGCTGCTGAAGAACGACGCTGGGAACTTTCCGGCGCGTTTCTCATCCTGCAGGAAAATGAACATGCTTCGTTATTTCTGGAGCGGGTTCTGGGAGCCGTTACTCAGAACACACTTACTTTTTCTGACACCTTGAGGAAAATCAGTGGAAAATTGTCCATGTTGGAGACAAAAGAAAATGAAGAATTACAAACGTCTAACATTGAACAAAATGGAAAAATTGAGTTGCTGGTTTGATCCAGTTATGGAAGGTTGGGATATCATACTTCCTGTAGAAACATGTTTACCTCAAAGATGATGAAGCCGATGAAGAAGAGCTGCGCCAAACACCTGTTCCTCTTGTCTGGCTTCTGCATGAGAGACACCAGGGTGTTCTTGGTCTGAGAGGAGTTGGGTTTTCCATAGACCTTGATCCGATACTGGGGATTGGTCCAGAAAGTCTCTGGAATAACAGGAACGGGGAACTTTAACTGAACCAACGAAAGGAAAACATCGAGGCTCAGCAGTTTCTCTGCCAGGAGACTTTCACAGACTCAGAACCATAACAGCAACGTTTTACTGGAGCTCAGAGAAACGACCCAGAGCTCCACCTCTGGCTGTACGGGCCTCCGATAGCAGGTCAAAAGTCACGACTCCAGAGCAGAGATGTTGGGCCATGGTGGAGTTCTGGTTCCGGTTCTTACCTTTGTGGTTGATGTAGCCTCCAGCCGTGGTTCCTGCCACCCAGCGGTTCTCGTAAGTCGACGTCTTCCAGTGGCAGGCCGGGTCTTCGTCCAGGAAGTCGGGTCTCATGCCGCAGATTTCAATGTTGTTGTAATATCTGCAGCAATCCTCCAGGCTCATCCTGAACACATTTTCATATGCTGACTGTATTCTGTGCACTGGAGTGTTTTCAATAAATCAGAAACTAATATTTCACATTAATTCACAGAAGTTGTAACTTCAGTCTGTTTACCAAAACTCTCCATCATTCTCCACAGTGAGGCACTTTTCGCGTTCCTTTGTGCTGACGCTTCGCCACAGAGGAGACCTCGCAGAACAAGGAGGAAGCATTCATTTATTAGTTTCAGCAGAAACAACGAACTGTGCCAGCCGTGAGGTCTCACTTGTCGCTCCAGTCTCCGATCCATTCTCCGTGGCCCCAGGGGTTCCACAGGCGCACCAGGTTCACCGTCGTCTCCTGGCTCTGCAGCTGATTGGTCAGCATGGAAACCACACTGTCAGCACTGACATCAACTCCTCCAAGTTTGCCCTGAGATCTGCATTTGTATGTAAAGCTATTGATTCTCAGTTGCCATGGTTACCCTGTGTATCTGGGGTAACTGATCGATTTGGGCTGCATAGTGTTGAGGAAAATGGAATACTCTCTGTTTAAATAGTTAATCTAACCACATGTCAAAAAGGGAGTTTGAGTTAATGGTTTAATCAAAAACTATTGATGGGTAAGTTCTTAACTTACATGAAGGAAGCTCTGTCAAAGGCCTGTTTTTCTTATCAAAGAGGACAGGAGGCCATAAAATGATCATATAGGCAGGAAGGCAGTTTTCTTTGAAGGAGCCTGGGAGACAAAAGTTTCCTCTGTTCACAGAACGTCATAAAAGTCTTAGAACCCAACAGCTGGGAAACTGAATGCAACATAGAATATCTGTAAGGCACATCATCTGATCTTTGTAATCTCTAGTTGTTAGCAACATGTCTTGATTGAAATGGCCTAATTATAGTTTTCAGATTAATAACTTATTCTGCCTTATTGACCTTTATGTTACCTGTAGTTACAGCAGATGGTTTGCTAAGATCTTTTGAACTGCCCTTTGTCTGTGTGGGAAACAATCAGGAGAAGTTCCAGCTTCACACTGATCTGTGAAAAGCCATAAAACAGCAGGAGTTCAGGCCAGTGGAGGAGAAGCTCTGCTGCCACGTTGTTTAGATAAAGGAGACACCTGGTGTTTGATCTTGGAACAAGTTGTAGGGAGTTTCTCACTTTTAAGAGGGTCAGAGATAGCTCCTGGTTGGATGAGCAAAGATACGCCTTATTTGAAGAAATTAAAGATAAGAATACGCCTTTACTATAAAACTTTGTACACGGGAGTAGCAAATCAGATTTGCTTTTGCAATTCTCCAAAGACGTCTCTGCTTTTTGTTTGTTGTTTCCATCTTTTATCCATTTCTCAGGTAAATTCATGTGTTGTGATGTGCTGCTGTGGTGAAAGTATGCATCTGTCTTTAATAAATTATTGGGACTCTGCTCTGGGCATGAGAGTATATAACGAGTCAAAAAGTTTTAAAAAGCGTTAATAAGCTTTAAAATGTTCCTCTCCTAACAATAGGAATGAAAGTAAAAACTATTTTAATTAGGTTAAATTAGAGCTTTTCATGGATGAACTGACTGGGTAGAGATGAGCTAAAGGAGAACTCAGGCTCTGTTCAGGACAGCGTTACCTCTTTCAGACCCGTCACCGTGTAGGCGTGGCCCGGGACCAGTCCGTTCGGTAGCCTGTCGCCAGTAGTTGCTTCCTGATGAAGACACAGAAGCACAGGTCTTAGATTCTCCCTGGGGTCTCCATGGGTGTGATCCTTCCCCAGAGAACATATGGAAAACTTTAAGGGACGTTGAAGCGTCCGCTGTAGATGGGCCCCTGGTCCAACACACCGGAACCAGACGGCGTTCAGTCAGGCTCTCCATCCTGCTGATGACCTCGTTGTTTCTCTCAGGTGTGTTGGAGCAGAGACGCTTTGAGAGGAAGCTGGACACCGAACCGGAGCTGAGGACCGCTGGTCTCACTGCTGGTCTTTCAGGACTTTTATCTCCAGCAGTGAAATTTTAAATCAATCTGATCATATCTACATATCAGAACAAATGACCCTTCTTCATTTGATAATCAGCGACATTTGCCCTCCAGCATGGCGGCAGCCTTGTAGGAAAGACAGGTCAGTGTCTGCACAGCGTTCCCTGTTCGGGTCTGTATATTTTCTCACCGTTTTTGGGATGGTGCTGCAGCTCATGAACGTCCTGGAGCGTCCAGCTCTGCACAGGAGCTTCCAGAGATTAGGGGAAGGATCTGACAGCTGGATGCACATGTGGACACCGCCGGTGAAGTCCCTCATGGCCTCTGCCGGAGTCCCAGACGTCATATCCGCATAGGATCCACAAACCCTGCCATATTCAGGTAGGAGGTTATGTCTGGTGTCAAACAGTTCACCATCCTGTCTGAGAAACAGACCGCAGGTCTTTACATACTTGGCGTAGGCCTTCTCAAGCAAAGCGGGCCAGAATTCACACTCGTCTTTGGAACGGGCAAAGATGGGTTTCCTGTTGACTGTTGGCAGCTTGTCGTCAATCACCACATCCACCCACTTCCCAAACCTCCAGAACTGGAAGGAACATTTAGAGGCAGATGTTTGTCTCGGCAGACAGAGAGAGATACCTCGTCTGCAGAAGATGATTTAGCTTCAAGCTAAATGTTTAGTTGGCTTGCACACTAAATATTACATTTATTTAGCACTAAGCTAAATATTCTAACTAAACATTTAGTTTTTCTCTTGAGAGGCTCATGGCAAACTGAATAACCCACATTATTGCTGGGAATTATTGACTTTCCACCTGATGCCCCATGTGAGGCGCTATCAGTTCTCAGTGGTGGAGAAAGTACTCAAAGTAAAAGTACAAATACACAGACAAAAATGTACTCAAGTAAAAGTAA